CGACTTTTCCCCCGGCTCGCCCTCGCGAACGGACGCGGAACCTCCGCAACGTGCCGCAGCCTATCGCGCCGATCTCGATTATTCGGGTAATGAGAATTCCGCGGTTATTTCGGGAGCGGCACCGCGGCGCGCGCCCCGACGCACGCTTCCGCGAGGATTTCGTCCCGGCCGACGCTGGTCGTTGAACCTCGCCGTTTCCGGCCGCTCTGGAAAACCCGCGGCGCGACGACCGGCGCCGGGAAATTTCCTCGCGATCTGCTCCTTCGGGATCTGCGAGATTTTGATGGTTCGCTGTTTCGTATCGGTGAATTCTTTTGAAATTCAGGCGATTTTCGTGCTGGAAGTCGGTGTTTTAGAGTGTTTCGAGGTATGAGGGGAGGTTTTTCGTTGGAATCGGGTTTTTGGGTGAGACTGATGATCTGGGTGGTTAGGTTGGAACATCGAGTAGCGTGATTTCTCGTTGAAAGGAGCGGGTAATCGATACGCTGGGAATTTTCTGTGACCGATGCAGTTCGAGTATTCCCTGATCGATACGCTTCAGATTCCCTCTGTGCCATGCTGCTGGAATATTCTTGGTTCGATTGAACAATGGCTGAAAGGATGAACGCGGTTTGCTCCCCGCGAGCATAACGAATGACCCATAAAAGGGGAAATCGGTTTAGACGCGACTACTGGGAGATCGATTCATCTAATTAGCTGATTAGTTCGCGCGGCCCGGGAAATGGGAAACCTTTAAACGTTGATGATGGCGGCGGGTGGAGATGAATCTTGCTCCATCTCGTACGAGTGCTCAGGAATAGGTTCATTGATCATTATTATCGAACCGACAGCTCGAACTAATGAATGTAGGTTGAGGCTCGCGGTAATCTCAGGTGATATTACGCGAATTAACCCTTTGAACTCGGAGGTTTTTCTCTGGAAATATTTTAACATTTTCTGACGAGATAGAGAGGATATTCTGCGAAACTAACTCGACGAGAAATTACACGTACGTTGAGGAACAAAGGTATTTTATTTCAATATTTCTCAAATTGATGCGTTATACGGAGTATAATATTAAATGTCATATTTTATAATTTTACTGTATGATCACGTGGTGAACGAGTCACCTCTCGAGTGTAAAGTTTAAAAATGTCCTTAGCTTTCGCGATTATAAAAGTACAAATCCTTCTAACAAAAATTTCCCACGTTCGCCTAATACTTCAACCCTTAGCACTTTAAGGTTCATTAAAATATTTAACCCTTTGCACTCTGTAGGCTCCAATATTGCACCAGGAATGATATTAGATATTTTAATGAATCTCAAAGAACCCTATAATTATTACTTTCCACACATCCAAATTTTGCACTAAGGAACATAAAAGATCTAAATCAGTTGCAGTTGATTTCCTACAGTGAAGCTATAAAGTTTGATATTTAATACTATACTTCGTATAATACATCAATCTAAGAAATACTGACGTAATTGAAAAATTAAGGAATTTCTCGTCGAGTTGATTTTACGAAATCTCATCTCCATCTCATCAGAAAATGTTGAAATATTTCTATTGAAAAACTTCGTATTGCAAAGGGTTAACATTATAACTGCAATATTCGAACCTACAGAGTTCAAAGGGTTAACTTCCCAAACCTAATCACCATCTCCTGCGATTATCAAAGAATCCATCGATATCTTCATCCGCAAACCCAATGGGCGTGTCCCGTCCACCCACCATCGAAAACCCGATGCGTTCTTAACACCCCGAGGTCCCTCACCCCTTAAAGCAAACAGTTCCAAACGAACTTCCCCGAAAACCCTGCAATCAAGTCTGAATCGCGTCCCGAAGAAGCTCCCGGCGCCGGTGCCATTTTTACGGGCCGGCCCGCGCGCGGCCGTTGGTTTGAATAAATCAATACGCGCCCCGAATTTCCAGCAACGGGAATAGGATTCACCGGTTCGAAATTATTTTCGATACGGCACTGCCGTCGCGCGGCGTTTCATCCTTCGTCGGTCACTGACACCAGAAACGGCTTATAGCGGTCGCCGCGTCGATTCCGGACGGTCACGTGTGTGCGCGTGTGTCACGCACACGCCGGCTGCCGGCGTTCTCTCTCTCCGTCCGTCTGTCTTTCTCTCTCTCTGTTGCCGTACCTATGCGGCTTCGCGTGTATTCTCGCGTGCAATCGGAATTTCATAGTCCGTTTTAGCGGTCCCCGAGCGCAAGGACGTCTCGCAGCTCTTAAATGACACGTTGGCGACCGTTATAAAGGACCTGCCCTCCGTAACGTCTCGCTAGACCCCTCTATGGTCGCTTCGCTTCCGAAGGAAACATTCGTTTGTGCAGAATATTGAACGCTTACGAAATGATGAATCGTTTTGTTTAACACTTTGACGCTTGGACCGCCATTTTTAACACTAGGTTTACGGAGTGCGTCGATTTGACGCATACTGAATTTATAAACATTAGTTGGCAAGCGTTTGTCGGCTTTGGTTGATGCAGTTAAGAATACGTATAATCTAATTTTAAATCCCTAATTTCCAACATCTAAATGGTTGAACGTCGATTTTTCTAGGAACAATAGAATAAACCGGACAATACAGTAAACCTAGTGTTAACGTAATCTTGTGTATTTTTTTGGCGACGCATCGAAGTTTTATTGAGATATAAGGAAGAGTAATCGGTACGAAGAATCTTGACTCTAGTTTCTGGTTTATTGGGGAAACTGTTTCGATTGGAAGTTTACCAAGATAATAGAAATAATTAACCCTGTGCACTCGGATGTTTCTTACTAGAAATATTTAACATTTCTTTGCGAGACGATGTTCTTTGAGACTAATTCGAAATCATCAGTACCTTGAGGAACAAAGCTGTTTTACATTACACAAAGTTTAACACTAGGTTTACGGGCATTTATTGTACACTTCATTCTATTATTCCTAAAAGAATCGCTCGTTTATTCAGATTGTGGAAACTGGAGATTTGATAGTAGGTAACTGTGGTACATGTCACTGTGATCGCATCAATCAAAATCGGCGTAAACATTTACCAAATAATATTTCCAAAATCCGTGCGTCAATTTGACGCGTTCCGTAAACCTAGTGTTAATTAATTGCATGCTTGAAGTAGTCGAATGTTTTGACCCTTTGCACTCGGTCGGTCACTTGATTCGATGTAACAAAATTGTACAATTTTATATAATATATCAAACGTGAATTATCAAAATAGCTTTGATTCTCCAATTACGTTCTCATTAGTTCATTTCAAAGGACGTCGTCCGAGTTGCATGGATTTTGAATATTTCCAGTGGAGAACTCTCAGAGTGCAAAGGGTTAATAATCAGATTTGAGAAAGATACGCGGAATGAATATTCTAAGAGCGGAGTGGGTCATTTTCATGTACGAACCGGTGAAATGACACGTTTGGGATTATTATAAAGGATTGATCGTACGCAGGGCTCCCGCTAGACTCCCATAAGGTTGCGTGATCGAAGATATTACGCCGGCTAGTTTCTCATGATTCCCGATGAACAAGGGCGGACACATTTCTCTGCGCAGGTTACTTATTGACCAGGGTCGAGAAAAAGATTGGCTCGCCGGAGAAACCCTTATCGGATCTCGGCTTGATCTCGTATCGCAGCTATTGGAAGGACGTTCTGCTGCAGTACCTCTGCAACTTCGGGGGCAAGGAACTCTCCGTCAAAGGTAACAGAGTTTTAGGTCGTTCGTCGCCTCGGAACGACGAACGAATAGTATGCGAACGATTAACCCTTTGCACTCGATCGGTGCATCGAAATTGTAAAATTTCGTGCTTAACACGTTAACACTTTGACCGCCACGTCAAACAAATTTGGGTGACACTGTTTTTCAATTAACTTGAATATGAATTTTCTTGGTAACCTATCGAACGAACCGAATTTTGTTGGATGTGTGAGATATGAAAAAGTAGAGCAATTACGAAGAATCTTGACCTTTTAGTTTCTACTTAAGGAAGAAAAGTGTTTCGAGTACCTGGGAGTTTTGACGAGTGTCTACGCAGTGGAAGTGTTAAGCGCTATGTCAGTCGCTGACTGACGCTTCTGAATGACTAAAGACAATTGCAACATACAAGATAACCGATGCGAGACATGTGTCTTATAAAAATAAATTGAATATTTCTAGTGACAAACTTTTTGAGTGCAAAGGGTTAAATGAGCATTAACACTAAACCTACCGAGCAGTTAAACTGACCTTTCGAAATTCCTTGCAACTCCAAGAGTGCATCTATGGAAACTTAAATTAGCTTAAAATTCAGTTTACGTGTTGCTAAATCAGTTTCTTTAATCATTTATCAAAGAAACATCTATTTTTTTAATAATTGAAAATAAAGCTGGACCCGTCTGGTAGTTTTAGTGTTAAGGGTTGAAAGTGCATGAAACGACGTTGAGATTGACACGTTAACTGCCACGAAAATCAGATTTTTATCGCTTATTCTTTTTAGCAAAGATAAAAAGTTACTTATCCCTACTGTACATTATGAAATATTTTCTGTCGACATTAATTAACTCATAAATTATAATTACTGTCATTTGAAGCTCCTGTCATCGAAGACCAATGCGGCGGTTAACGCGTCAATATCGAGTGAATCAGGAAAAATGAAGTAGAAACGTAACTTCGACGAACAAATTTATTCCGACACGATTTACAAGGAATTCGTTGAAATTCCCGATGATTCGCGTAGATTGGATAACTCGAGAATACCGTCTGCGCAGATATCAGCAAGGAGATGGCGATCGACTCGTACGACATCGTCAGCACGCTGCAGGCCCTCGGCATGATGAAGTACTGGAAGGGGAAGCATATCATTCTGAAAAAACAGGTAAGTCCTTCCCCTTTCACGCGTTCCATCAAATCACTCCATAAGTTCATATTCAACGTATAATTCTCTTTCGAATCAAGGATACAAATACAATACAGCACTACAATGTAATATATTCTATACACAACAAATACACTAAACAAATAACCCAAAAGATAAAAACTAAACACACCAGACTCTCAATTATTCGACTTAATTCCGAACGAGAACGATCGATTTAGATCTCGGAGAGTCCTGCACATGTACCTCATAAATATATTTCTGTTTTTTAGGCACCAGTGATATTTATAATGCGGTAGTTCTATGTTTGAAACGAAAAGCGGACCGTTCCTCCCCGATTCACGGTGGCAATGTCTCATTCGCGCCGCTTGAACATTCGAAAATTTCTCTGAGAAAGAACTTATGGACTGACTTGACCGCTCGCCTCGGAAGAGGGGGGGGATTCCCCCGCTCGGTTTTCCCCGCGATCGCAACCCCTCGTCGCGGCGATCGCGTCGCGTGATTTACGGCCGGCTCGGCCTCGAGGAATCGTTGACGGACGCTGGCAACGGAATTACGAGCTGAACGCGGCTCCCCGCCGAAGTTATACCCGCATAAATTACGCGGGACGGCTTCCGCGACGCGAAACGGCCCTCCTCGGAGACTTTCCTCCCCCTCGTTCTTTGTATCGCGCGGGTATTTTCGCGCGAACAGGTCTTCCACCCCTGTGAACTTGAGATCGTACTGGCTCTCGCTTGTTTAATAGAGCCGGCACAGAGCTGGCGTTTGTAATGATTTTTTTTCTCAGGTTTCTGCGTCTTTGACGGAGGCGTGGTAACGAAGACGTTTGATTGAATGTTAATGGAGTGTTCGAGGAATTGTTTGGTTTGTATCATTTTTGGAACGAGTTCATTTCGAATGACTTCGGAGTTAATATAGGGGATAGTGTCTATGAGGTTCTGGAACCGTTGGAGTTCTGCAATTTCGAATAAGTTTTGGAACGGACGATAATTTCGAGTACCTAGGATTCCATAGCCTCTGGAAATCTACGCTTTCGAGCAACAACTTCCCCGAAAGTCTATAATTTCAAACAATCGCACCGAAGTTCCGTAACCCCTGGGAATTCTACAATTACTGGTAACTTCCTCGGAGTCCATCAATCCCATCGTTTCGAACGATCGCTTTGCAAACTCTGCCTCTCTTCTCTTCGAAATACTTCAGAATACTTCGAAATACTTCAAAATACTTCGAAATGCTTCAAAACACTTCAAAATACTTCAAAATGCTTCAAAATACTTCAAAACACTTGTATTAGTACAATACAAAACTAAGTATTAGTACTAATACAAAATTATACTACTAATACAATATTAGTACCAATACAAAAACTAAGTATTAGTTTGCTCCAAAGTATAATCATCGACAACAGATGAACAATACACAATTGGAATCCAAACCAATTGAACAATACCATCTTCCTTAAATCCTATTCGAACCTTCACCCCTATCTGACACTACAGCCTAAGGGGTTAAATTCCTCAGTCGCAACAACCATCAACATTCGATCAAACAGTATTACTTCAACCAAACTGAACAACACCTATCTCCGTCAAATTCTATTCTAAACCCTCACCCCTATCTGACACTACAGCCCAAAGGGTTAAATTCCTCAGTCGCAACAACCATCAACATTCGATCAAACAGTATTACTTCAACCAGAAAACTTGCAAACCGTACTCGAGCACGGCCAGTGCATCTCAAAATCGTCTCACGCTTCGGCCCGCGCCCTCGTGTCCGCGTAAACGTCTAGCTTCTCGGTGTGCGAGCGGGAAAAGAGAAATAGAGCGATAGAGCGAAGGAAAGGGAGGGACGGAGGGCGAAGGAATGGGGAGAGATGGAAAAGAAACGGACCGTTGGGAGAACCGTTGAAATAATTTCAGGACGTGATCGACGACTACAAGGAGAGGGTGAAGAGACGGGGGCCCGTCTACAAAGAGATCGATCCGGAGTGTCTGAAATGGAACCCCTTCCAGCCACCCAAGACGCCCTCCGCCTCGAACTAAGGTCTGCGACGAACGAGAAGAGCCCAGCCAGGAGCGGCCGGAATGACGCCGACGTCGGCCTCCTCCC